AGGGTTCGGATCCCACATACAGACCAGTTCCCGCTCACTGGCTGGGCGAGGGGCGGGCGCAGCACTGAGGGTTGCGATCCCGTTGCCGGTCCCGGTCCGGTACGGGCGCAACACTGAGGGTTGCGGTCCGTTGCCGGACATGAAGAAAAAAAAAAAGACAAAAAAGGACGGTCCGGTACGGGCGCAACACTGAGGGTTGCGGTCCGTTGCCGGACATGAAGAAAAAAAAAGACAAAAAAGGAAAAAAAAAGAAAGAAGAATTAACACCATTTCTATAGAATCTCTTCCAGAAAGTAGAAGAGGAGGAACACTTCCTAATTATTTATATGAAACTAGTCTTACCCTGATACCAGAACTAAACAAAGACAATACAAAAATATATTGATGCAAAAATCCTTAACAAAATATTAGCAGATAGTGTTCAGCAATATAGACTATTCCCATGATCAAGTGAGAATTATTCTAGGGATGCAAGTCTGGCTTAATATTTAAAAAATCAATTGGTGTAATCTACCATATTGATAGGCTAAAGAAAAAAATTACATGGTTATATTAATCAATGCAGAAAAAGCATTTGACAGAATTTAACACTCATTCATAATAAAACATCTCAGGGAAATAAGAGTAAAGGGAAATTTCCTTGATTTGGTAAAGAGCATGTATAAAAAACCTACATCCAACATTATACTTAATAGTGAATGATGAAATGCCCTCCCTGTAAGATTAGGAACAAGCCAAGGATGTCAGCTTTTCCCACTCTTATTCAACGTCATGCTAAAAGCTCTAAGCAGTCTCAAAAGGCAAGAAAAGGAAATAAAAGCCATACAGATTTAAAAGACAGAAATAAAACTATCCCTCTTTGCAGATTACGTGATTATTTAGAGAATCACAATTAAGGAACCCACAAAAATTCTATAGTAAGTGAGTTCAGCAAGGTTGCAAGATAAACAATCTATATTTGTATGCTTATCTTTTATCTATATACTAGCAATGAACAGTTGGACACTGGAATTTTAAATATTATTTATAGTCACTCAAAAAATAACAGGTTGCAAGCTAAAAAGACATGTATAGGATTTTGTATGTTATAAACTACAAAATGCTGATGAAAGAAATCAGAGAAAGAATAAATGGAGAGACATATTCTATTTATGAGTTGGAAGATTCAGAATTGATAAAGATGTGGTGCTTCCCAAATGGGTTTACAGGTTTAATGCAATTCCTGTCAAAGTCTCTGTGAGTCTTTTTGTAGATTAATAGACAAATTCTAAAATATATGTGGAAAGGCAAAGAAACTAGAATAGCTAAAGCAATTTTGAAAAAGAAGAATAAAGTCAGTGTAATGAGTCACTCAATATCAAGACATTGTATGTAGACCCACAGTATAGGCTCTGTGGTACTGGTGCAGGAATAGACACATAGATCAGTGGGACAGATGTGGAACCCAGAAATAGACCTACAACTGTGCCTAACTGATTTTTGGCAAAGGCGTGAAAGCAGTTCATTGGAGGGAAGATAGCTTTTTCAATAAATGGTGCTGGAGCAAGTGGACAGCCAGAGGCATATAACTTAACCTCAACCTAAAATAAACCTCATACCTTATGCAAAAAATTAACTTAAACCATAGAATGAAATGTAAAACATAAAGCGATACAACTTCAGGGGGAAAAAACCCAGCAAACCTTTGAAATGTTGGGCTAGGCAAAGAGTTCTTAGACTTGACATCAAAAGCGTGATCCCTAGAAAGGAAAAATTGATAAGTGTGACTTTATTAAAATGAAAAATTTGATTTGTAAAACGCCCTGATAAGAAGATGAAAACACAAACTACAGACAAGGAGAAAAATATTTGCAGACTCCATATCTGAATAAATGACTAATACCTAGAATATATAAAAAAAACTCTCAGAACTCGAGTAAAAAAAAAAGTTCACATACAGTTAGAATGTAAGCTAAGGACATGAATAGACATTTCATTAAAAGGATATAGAGATGGCAGACATGCACATGAAAAAATGTTCAACACCATTAGCCTTACAGAAATGCAAATTAAAACTACAATGAGATGTCATTACACATCTATTAAGATGGCTAATGTGAAAAATAGTGACAACACTAAATGATGGTGAAGATGCAGAGAAACTGGGTTACACATACATTGCTGGTGGGAATATAAAATTGTATGGCATTCTAGAAAACGGTTAAAATCTAAACATGCAACTACCATACGATTCAGCAGTTGCACGCTTGGTTATTTTTCTCAGAGACCTGAACATTTAGGTTCACACAAAGACCTGTATGTGAATGTTTGTAGTAAATTTATTCCACACAGCCAAAAACGTTAAATATCTTTCAATGGGTAAACAGGCCGTGGTACATCCAGGTTCACACAAAGACCTGTATGTGAATGTTTGTAGTAAATTTATTCCACACAGCCAAAAACTTTAAATATCTTTCAATGGGTAAACAGGCTGTGGTACATCGATGCCATGCAAAATTACTCAGCAATAAAAAATGATTAATTATGGATATATGCAGCAATCTTGATGAGAGTTATACTGAGTGGAAAATATCTTTCCCAAAGTATTACATAACTGTGCTTCCACTTATGTAACATTCTTGAAATGACAAAATTATAGAAATGGAGAGTAGCTTAATGGTTGCCAGGGATTAAGAAGAGGGTTGTGGGGGATGGTTGGAAGGCAACCAGGTATGACTCTAAAAGGACAACGAGAGGAATCCTTGTGATGATGGGAGTGTTTTGTATCTTGACTGTATTGACATCAATAATCCTACTTGTCACAGTGTGTTGTGGTTTTACAAGATGTTACTCTTGATGGTATCTAGGTAAAGGGCATGTGGAATCTCTCTGTGTTCTTATAATTGCATATGAATCTACAGTTATTTCAAAATAAAAAGTTTGGTTTTAAATCATATATAACCTTCCCTCCCAGGAATGACCATTGTCACTATCTTAGTGTGCAGGAATAGTACAGACTATGGATTCTAGTGCAAGACTCCCTGGGTTTCTGCTATGTATCAGCAGTGTCTTTGGGCAAATTTCTTCACCTCTCTATCCTTAGTGTTCTCATTTGTTAAATGGGGAGTAATAATTTTAACGCTAATAATACTTCTCTCATAATGTTACTGTAAGAGTTAAGTAAATTGTAACATGTGTAAAAGACTTGGAACAGATGCTGGTACTCTGGTCAAATAAGTAGTACTGGTGCATTGGTGGTGGTGGTTGTTACTGTTTTAACCCTTGTTTTGTTTTTTTCTTTTAACACAGTTGAGATAACATGTGTATACATTTACACATTGTGGTTTTCACTTGACATATTTTTTTTTCTCTTAAAAGTTAATAAGGTTTGAATCTGAAAATGAAGAGCTTTGGCGATCCCCCCTCCCATATTTACAACCTAAACCCCAAGTTTCAAAGCAAAAAATTAGCTTACTGCCTAAATTTTAAAAAGGAAAAAAAATTTTTTTTAATTTCTTGTTTTCATGTCTGGTTTGTAGTCAAAACTACTGGACTTGGAGTTCTTTGCCCTACCCACTTAGCTGCTTTGAGGGTACTGAGGGCCTCAAGCAGAACTTTGTCTCAGTGTCTTCATCTGCTTTAGGAAGCACAAAGGCTGAATTCTTCCAGCCATTCTCCTGACATTTCTAACATAATTAAAGGGCATTATTCTTGGGAATGTTTCTGTACACTGCCAGATCTTCAAAGCCCCAGTCACTGTCTGTTGAAATATGTCATCTAGAGTTGTACTGTACCCTCCAGAAGGCCATTCGGCATCATCTTTAGCTTCTCCAAGCCTTTTCTTGGCCTAGGTTCTATTTATGATACATAATTTTGGGTTGCCTTCAGTAAGTCTAAA